TTTATTATATAAATCATTTTGCATTCTAGGAGGTGATACGTTTTAAAATGTTTTGTCAATAAAATACAAATATATTTGAATATCACGAGCAGAAAATCCAGAATGGTCGTGGTCCCCATCAATCGATCCCCCACCTCCACTTCTGTTCTTGGCAAATACCTTGCGCTGCCTGTTAAACGACGTCGTGCAGGGTTATTGCCGACAGCGCAAGAATCTGATGATAACGTACGAAAACAGCGTCCGCGTACGAACACGTGGAATTTGAGGCAACTCTGCAGTCGAAGTAGTTGGGGTGCCGAGATTTTCTCAGCATGACTCGTGGCCGTATCTGGGCAGGCGCACGTGAAAACAACATTCACGTCCCTTCCGCATATTAACACGTGAAATCTGATGTAATTCCGCAACCGCAGCATCTGGAGTGCTAAATTCTTTTGGACATGGCCATGGCTGTTTATCGAAAATCATCGTCACAATTTCTGATAGTCGTGATGACCAATCCCAATTGTTTTAGCTAGAAGCATTTGCCAAGAAAAACTTCCGTTAGCACAAAAACCGGCGGGGGGACTGTGCAAAAAACGTCGCACCGGCAGCCCGTGGGCGTGTATTTGTAAATTTATTTGTAAATGTCTACACGTATTTATGGTGCATCTCTGGGAACAGATCGCAAAAGTAATGCGAAACAATGACTTCATTCAAATACATACACATACCATTAGCTAAACAACTATACATTTCTTCCAGCAATGCATAGGGAACTTTGGGAGCCAAATGAAAGAATGGCGTGTCGGAGTGCTAGCGTTTCCCAGCCTTCCATTTGGGGTCAGCGCGCGAAGATAACGTGCTATACTTTTAGTCATAATAGTTTTTCTCTATCTGACCAGGATAGATATACTTAGATTGCCGGAGAATATCTATCTCCAGCATAGTTTTTGCTTTGTTCCCACATAATTCAAAACATAACATGGGAAACACTGCCCAGGACTTTTCGTCGCAAGACCCCAGCGTGATTTTGCAAAAAAATTTTTACACTAGCAACAATTCTTTACAAGTTATTACACAAAGCATATGT